CTTCCGATCGGGGGGAGGGAGGGGTGATTCGATCTCTGGTTGTGGCAAACGATCGATGACACCTTCCTATATTTGAAAACCGTTCCAGTTAATCCTCGGCCTCGGTTTACCCATGGAAGTTGACGTCAGCATGATTATCGGCTACGTGATGAAATTTAATTACGTCCTGCCCTATAACGCCTCGTACTTGACGGATCCATACGTCCGCTATGACAGATCGATCAACCGCCATGTCGAGCTTCCCGATGGAAATGACGCCTCTCCGCCAAATGCGAAAGGTATCATGTTCTTTGCTCTTGTGCGCGGCGTGCGCGCTCGATTAATTGAAGCCGCGCATTACGTCCCGTTTTGGAGGGGGGGGGGGTCTTTACGTTCGATTTCGCGCCGGGGAATAAAATATAATCTCGGATCATTATTCAAATGGTTAATTCGTAGCATTTAGTCCGCATTAATTCCGCTTGTGATAATATGAATTAATTGAGGCTATTGTGCTGATAGCTTTTCCATTTAGAGGGTCCTCGCGCTTGCACACGTTCTCACGTACGCATATAGTAAAACGATATTTCAAATCATTGTCCAAATTATTGGACTCGTATAGCGTTAAACTGAATGTCCGTTCTAGAAAATTTTTCTGTTACGGACTGTCAATTCATTTATGTCGTAATTTTAATTCTCGCATTGAAGATTTAATTTATTAAGATTATTAATATTTTAAACGTGTATATACATATACAAACAGTATTAATATATATTTTGAAACTATTGATATTCGGTTTAAAGGTCATACAGTATATTTTTCCACACCTGAGAATCGGAAGGAAATAAATCCAAAATCAACGTTCGCGCCACAAGTAACTCGTAATCGGAGGGAAGCTGTCGATCTGACGCGAATAATGTATAGCGGCGCATATCTAATTGATCTGGACAAAACAAAGTTTATCTCGAGGGCCACGTTAACGACTTCAGACCTTCGCAGGCAAAAGCCTTCCGGCAGAGAGCTTTAGTCCTTCCGCTTCTCAGGTGTACCGTTGGACGCGTTCGAAAGGGAAAACGGTCAGACGGCGGAAGAAAAAACGGTGAGATATTATGTAAGAGGTGATAGCGTCGACGAGATGCATCGAGAGGGTCTCGAGACGGAAAGTGGCCGTCCCTCGAAATCTGACGAGCGTACTCGGGGCTTCGAGGAGCGAAGAACGAGGCTTAATGCCGGGATAAGGCGAGGATCCTTTCCCTTTACATGTTAATAAGCCTACTTTTGTTGCGTGGCCTCGTGCGCCTATCTCCTCGGCACAATGGACGTTAATCCTGCTCCTTTATCGAAGGACTCTCTTTCTCTCTCTCTCATATTCGCTTTGATCTCGTTAATCCGACCTAACGTAGCCGGGATCCTTTCCTTATTTTTTTGTTTCTTTCGTCGTACCTCTTCTTACCTCTGTATCGGGACTCATAATGACTTGTGGCGTTTGATCTTCAGATACTTGACGGTCTTTGAGGATATTTTCCGAGATATTAACCGGTACTGATGCCAGCAAGAAAATATAATAATGATTAAAAAGAAACGTAATATTACTTTCGACTGTAAGCTTAAAGAGCTTTAATCTTCGAGAAAGATTATAAAATAAAGGGAATAATTATTTTTAAATTATTTCTGATCGCACATAAATTTGTTAATTAATTTTAAAAACGATTTACTTGATGGTTATAAAAATAACATCGTTATATAGCTAATAATCTGATAGGTAATAAACATGAAGTCTGAAGTAAAAGTTTAAAGATCGAATATTCATCAATGTTTTGTAAAATTTGTAAAGAGGAGTATATACATTTTACTTTTCTCTTTGATAATTTTACACCGTTAAATCTACAGTGTCAAATTTAATCCAATTTGACGTTTTCGCCACTGCTCGTATTTAATGTATCATTATTTTTAACTAAAACAATGGAATTAAACAGTTTCAAATAATTCAAATTTAACCTTAAATTGGCGAGTCAATACAGTGTCAAATTTAACTCAAATTGGGTTAAATTTGACACTGTAAATTTAACAGCGTAATATTATACATTAATTTGTATTATTTTTCTCAGCGTACATTTAATTTGTGTTTATACAATTATTTTTTTTTCGGCGTGAAGCTTTGATATCCAGATGGGAGTGCTACGAAATCCTCGAGTCGGCCCTCGAATCCACGCGTACGGGGAAGGCCTGCCTTTTGAAGACCATTTGCGAAGTCGCGGCGGTGCCTTTTAGACGGAGTCACACCCTGACTGCGCAGCTCGCCCATATTTTCCTCACGTAAGCGTTAATCCGGCGAGTAGTCTCTTGGAGTAATCTTTAGCTGAGCCCGGAATAGCTTCGCGATTAAGGAACTGCTACATTTGCCGTATACCATTGTCGCGGCTTAGGAATATGTGAATAATTCGCGTTACATGCACGGTCGTATTACGCGGCATATCTAGGCTCGGGGCTGCATATACGAGCACCTTAGAATACAATTCAAAATGAATGAGACGATTTTACGTGCTAAATGATATTTGTATTATAACGATCGCAAAACGATATTTTATTTTATCGAACGACAGACGCACAAACAGTAAGCGCATCTTGCCATATTAATTGTTTTACGTATATTTTATTTCGCGTGAAAAATAAAAGTAGTGCGTTTTAAAGATGTAAATCATTTTTATAATGCTAGTATATTTCAGGCCTTCCACCACATCTGAACCATTCAGACATGCCTTCGATCAAGAATATCGTGCCGCTGAAATTGCAGGTCGACAAGACTCCAGCAGCTGTGACAATTTATTTCCGGAGTGCGCGGAAAGCCTCTTAGATTATTTTACCGAGATATTGTTGGAATAACTATGTAATTCTTATTCTTAAGAAATACCTATTTTTTTAACGTTATACGTCTTTGTGTGTTTAATCAAATTTCTATTTATACAGGATTAGTATGGATGTCGTGTTTTTATCGCGGTAGCAGAATCAGCTGAGTTTTCCTTCGATTCGTATTGCAATTGTACAAGAAAACATTATATTTATGGCATTTTCTTTTAAAACAAAATACATTTTTGGCGTTTACGATATTAAATAATAATTAAAACTATAAAGCCGTATGTAATATTATCGCTGTATACATTTGATGATACATAGGGAAATGAGATCGCCGAGGAGATTTCGAGACGCAAACGAAGCATCCTTTTTAATAACAGCGTCATGATTAGTGACCAGTCTTCTTGGCCGCTATAAATTTTCGAGCGGACCATTTTCTCTTCGCATGCACCTGTTGTCGAACGGGAGTATTGGCAATAACATCCGATAACTGCGTCACGTTCAGTCGCAAGCAGCGCGTCCTTCATACCTCTTGGTGTTCCATGTGCTTCCTCTCGCCATCCTCCGCTCCCTTCCCCCACTCCGACCGTTTACTTCCGTTCCGCCCATTGTCCTGTTCCTTAATATCAGATCGGACACGACTGTGCGACGGAGTTCGTGATTTACGAGCTTAAAAATAAAATCTTGCATGTCACGACGTATATAACATCGTGTGCACTGGATGTCCTAAGCTAAAACTTTCCCCAGGAATAATAGCGATAGATCTTTCTCGTATAACACGATTAAAGTAAATTATTTTTAAATATAATTAAAAACTAGACTAAAAATCGATATATTCTTGTTCCCGATAATTTAATAATAACGTTTCAATCCCGTTTGTGGACTTTTATAGCAATCATACTTGAAGCGCCGACTTTCGAAAAACTCGAGGTCAGTAGACGTTACGTGATCTCGAGTCGGTGAAAAGGCACAGACTTTCGCGGAGAAGGAAAACGAGATCGAAAATCTTACGATATATCACATTATCTCAGATGGATAAACGGTGAAAAATAGGATCGGTCGAGTCGAGCAGCGAAAAAAGATAATAAGCGTCGTCGGCATCTTCGTGAGACCTTCGACGAGAGTTCAAGGTCGTGGGTATCCTGGAGGCGGCGATGTAGAAGGCACCGGACCCTACAGAATTGACGACGGGAAAAGCTTTGCCGCGCCGTTTCACAGTCACCGCGAATCAATCTATACTATCATTTCCGTTACGCAGTAGGTATATATATATTTTTTTTATGAAGTGGGTCTCAATACAACCTATCGTCCGGTACCTGAATTTATGGCACACGACGATACCTTTTTACAGAAAACTTTTTACACCAATTGCCCCAGTTTGCAAAAAGCTCTTTATTCTCGATTGCCGTTAAATTAAAAACTTTTGACACTTCAATATTTTTTTTTTTTTTTTGTAAAGAGGAAAAGAGTTTTCGAAGGGAGATTAGGGTCGATTGACAAAAATTCTATTGAGAGGAATTGCGCCCCCAATTTCTCATGTTTTCATTAGAATTGTGAATCGTTAACGGTGCCAGTTTAGTCTGTGGTCAACTAGAATCGCTCGATTCTGTCGAGCGGACAGGGCAGTTGGCTTAGATCGTACGTACCGCTGTGGATTCCGTCGCGGAATTGAATTACAACTCCAAGATGACGTAATAAAACTCACCCTCTTCGCGTATATATCCTTGTTCGCCCGTCGTCAGGGCGAACGTAAGACGAAACGAGTCAACTCTCTCTCCCCTCTCCCCTGCCCCTTCCGAGGTACCTTCTCTGGGGATTATCCAAAAAGAAATCGATCAGCGAGCAAGCAAATTTCCAAATCGCAACCGGAAAGACGGGCTTAACACGTTGCAGCAGCTGAAATATTTGAACATAAATTATAGTCGTTGACAATAAAAGTGTATTACTACTAAATCTGTAGTCAATAATCATCAAGTCTGAAGGGTCTTACCTATATTATTTTCTGACAGTTGTTAACGGGCTGCATGTAATTATGTAAAGCAACGCTTTACGAGATGAAACGTTAAGAGAATTAAAGCGAAAGTTTTCGTTTCGCTTTTCGGAGTTTCCGGGCACTTTCATCATTCATTTCGAGCCACTTCTAAGGCATTCGACGAACGGCGGACTATATATATATATATTTTTTTTTTCAATTTTCGCTTTGAGCGGCACAACCACCGTGGAAAATGGATCCTCCGATACCGCCATTGTCGACCGGCGTGATAAACTGACCCCGCATACGTCTTCTTTTGTTTCAGAAATACCCCGCGTGCTCTGCAGTGTGTGCGTTACGTTAACCATTTATTTTTAGCTCACCGCCGATTTTGCGCATTGTATCCCCCGCGCAATTCGACCGCGCACTCTCCCGTTATATAAAGAGAAATGATCGAGGCCGCGGAAATGTTGCCTGCCACGCTGTCGAAGATACACTTGGCACGATCGCCGCTCTTTAACCGGCGCCACCCGCGTAACACACGCGTTCAATGTCCATTTCTATACCAAGAGTAAATTAACTTTAATTCAGGTTTAACTTGCTTTGTATCTCTTTCTAGTTTTAAGAATTAGAAAAAGATAAAAAGTAAATTAAACCGAGATTGAAGCTAATCTACATTGGTATAGAAATGATAAAAATAATTCTGCAACGCGTTACTCTTCTTATTTTTTTTTTCTTTAATTTGCGTAACACTCGTCAGGATAACATTCGCAACGATATGCGGACGTGAAGATAGGAAAGCCAAACTTCCGTTTCGCGTGTACCCATATAGCATTTTATCCTCGCCCGCGAAAGTCATGAAAAGTTTTCACCAAGGAATAAATCTCTTTTTCTTTTTTTTTTTAATTTGCTTGCCCCGCGTTCTCGAGTTGCATCTCCGTTTCCTTCGCAGCGAGGTTTCGCGGACGACGAACGGACGGGTTGCCTTACCCGGCGTGTGGACGGATCCGCATACGTTTTGCATTCAGGTCGGGTATAGGTATCCGCACACGCGGCGATTCCGTGTTACGTAACGAGGGTGAGTTTTACGAGAGATCGTATACGGCGATCGCCGTAATTCAATTTAGCGACGGTATCATGAACTCGTGCCTGACTTACAGGGATATTCCGAGGATGTTGCGAGAGAGATTACGGGCGGGCGATACGAGCGCGCGGCGCTCGAGAGATCTTCTGCCGCGCGCGCGGTGAAACTTTCGCCTTTCTTGTTACCGCGCTGGCCATTTCTCTTCGCGCGCGACCGACCGTTCCGCCCTCGCACAAATTTTCGCTAAGATTTTATTACGTTACTGGATCATCCGTTCAAAGGCCCGCGAGGTGAGGGTGTCCCGCCGCCCCGGGCCGCCGCCGTCGATCATGACACGTCCAAAGTTAGGAAAACGCGAACGATTCTTTGTGACTATTACGTACGGCCGCGGAAGCGGGGGAGGGGGGGGGGAAGAAAAAGTATCTCTGCACCTGCGAGAGAAGCGATCTAAATTCACGAAATTGTTGGTTCTGACCTACAATGTACGTGTGCACTATACTCGATATAATCGGAGAAACATTTATTCCTGCACGGAAAGAACGATTTTGTTGAAAGATCTAAAAATTTTGCTAAAAACAAATCTGAAAATAATTTTTTTATTAAATCATCAAAATAATTTGTTGCAATGTTAAAACTGATAAGCATTCACGGAAAGAACAATTTTGCTGAATCCAGATCTGAAAATAATTTTTGTTCAATAATCAAAATAATTTTGTGCAAAAGTCAAAATGATTGCTAGAATATCAAAACGTTTTATAGCAATACTTATCAGTTTTAATATTCCAACAAATTATTTTGATGATTTAACAAAAAATTACTTTTAGATCTGTTTTTAGCAAAATTTTTAGATCTTTCAACAAAATCGTTCTTTGCGTGTTGCTATAAAAAACGTTTTGATATTTTAGCAATCATTTTGACTTTCGCACAAAATTATTTTAATTATTGAACAAAGATTATTTTCAGATCTGGATTCAGCAAAAGTGTTCTTTCCGTATGTTTTTACCATTTCAGCCTCGTCGAAGTCGATTAATACGAAGTATAACGAGAGGTATACGTATAATACAAACAAGTCCCTTTCCGCTCTTTCTCTCGGAGATACGCTGGCTATACCGACCGAGAGGAGGAGTTTACCTTTGACCTTTTTATTCCATTGCAGCGCAACCCTTGGAAGCCGTTTCTGAAAGAGGCCAACGTTGTTGCTAATATTCCGCAAGATACAGTCTTCGCGCTGCGGTTCGTACCTACTGAAGACACCATACGGAAAGCTAAAGCCGGGTCTTAAAGAGAAAGATATTGCTACGTTGTCCTTTTCGTTTGACTTTTCCCGGTTCTCTCTTTCTCTCTTCCTTTCTTCTTCTATCTTTTTTTTTTATCATAATGCGACTTCGATTTGGGCTCAAGCCGGAGGCTATACGGTTTTGCCGCTTTTATCGAAGGGAAACTTTCTTCCGTGCGCGCGCTATCAGTCGAAGTGCCGATCTGTTCGTTCTTAGCGCGACATTAAGGTGATATTATAATGCGCAGATATGGAGCACGAACGCAATTCCTCTCCTTCGCGGTTCTCCGAGATATCGATTTTTCTTCTCGCTGATGTTACACGTGGATTTTCAGGGGAGGAGGAATCAGGGAGAGAGAGAGAATTTTTCGAGTTACCGCATTACCGCGTAATCTCTTCTTTAGCGTTATCACGTTTTTCAAGTGCGAATCAGGGGAGAAATTAATTAAATTAAAACGCGAGCTCAAATGAGTGGCGTTAATAACTTTCAACCTACGCGACGCAAATGATTAAAGCCGCTCCGCACCGCGTGATGGCGAGCGCATCATCCATTCGCTCTTTCGCGTATTACGACGTACATTTAACGTCGCGCGACACGCTTGTACGGGGAGGTGCGAAGAGGAATTCCGTCGCGTGACGTAACTTTTAGCGCGACGCGGGTCGGCAAACTTAACTTATTAACGGGGACGCGTTACACGTTAATTTCGCGCGATTCCCCGACGTTGTTTAATCGCCGCCGTCGTGCCGATTTCAAATATTTGTCCGAGCCGAGCGGAGCGCGTCCGGAGATGCGAGACGCGCGTTACACGAGACGAGTCGTTACACGCACGGCGCGTCGCGCCGCTCCGTGTCGGTGGGAATTACCCTTCCTCTCTCGTGCGGATCGGCGTAAACGACGTTATATACGAAACGGTCTCGAAACCACGAAACCTCGTCGCTGGCAATTCGCCGGCAACTCCCGGGGAAACCGGGAGCAAACATTTGCGCTGGGGGTTGTTTAACGGTCCCCGCGACACACACGACGACGAAAACGACGCCCGCCGCCAAAACCCAATCCCGGGTCCTCGCCCGCCTTCGCCGGAGTTCGACGTCGCTTAATCGGACGTCGGGGAATCCCCGGCGTGTCACGTCCCGGTGAACGGTGTACACTCTCCAGAAAATGATCGGATCGGTTGTTCTTGCTCTCCTCCTGCTCTGCCAGTCGATCAACAGCGGGATGTGCCTGCGGGCGAACGGCACCCGCGACGAAATCTCTGAGGCGGCGCAGCAGCGGCACAGGCTGACAAGGAGCCTCACGTTTCCCAATCCGTCTATGCTTTTGGTATGTAATTGCGGTTGATCGAAATTGCATCGCGCTGAACTCTCGACATTGCTAATTGTCGATCGCTCGAATGAGAACGTCATACGTAACTTTATTCATGCACCGGGCTTTATTATTAAAACGAGAAATATATAAAATAATGTTACATAATATTTATATAATATAGGGGAGAGTTGCCAAATGCGTACCGGTCTCATAAAGCGTACCTCTTCAATATTTTATATAGTTCCACTTAATGGAAGCAACATTTAGTAACAAAAATATGAAGTAAATAAGAAATGTGTAAGATAGACAAAAAATGAACAGGTTACATCTTGTTTTGTGCATGCTATCAACATTTTAAAAAATCAGATACAATGTGATGTAAATTTTTGATCAATTTATATAGCTGATACTAATGTAACCACGCAATTTTTAATTGAATCGTTATTTTTTCCTAAAAGAAAGTTTATGATAGCATATTTTACATTTATTGTATATACATATTTACAAATATTATAAAAATTATATCAATATTTTTATCATCTCTGTCAAGTTTTCTAAATTGTATCTAACCAGCATAAAAGAGTTCTTATATCATATCGGTACAATTTAGGAACACTAATGTATCTTTATCTTTAGATCACATGACATAATCAACATTATTTATTTTAACACGATCGAAGTTGTTCTGTAGCAAGTCTGCAGTAGAAGAAAAAACCATCATCGAGTTGCGTAAGCAAAGCAGCTATATTGTTTGATAAATTAAAATTAAAGTAGAATATTAATTCATGATCCTTTTATCAATCTTGTGTTTGTAATTATTTTCATTCATAAATTCAATAGTTTAGAAGATGGTACTATTAATAAAACTCACAGGTACGATTTAGGCGACCGGTTTGCTGAATAGTGCTTTTGACAGCATATTGCAAACTTAGAACAAATTAATTTGCTATTAGTGAAAGATTTAACGAAAGATGTAATATTAGATGCCTTGAACATCAAGCTACAATTTCCAACGTCCATTTGCATTCTAAATAGTACCAAATGTGAAATATAACCAAAAATATCTTAAGTGGCACGTTTTCGGCAACTCTCCCCTATAATATTTACATGATATATTTATATAATGTTAACATTTTAATGTTAAAATTAATAAATTATATTTTATAGCGAATCGTTGCGGCAGATCGCAGTATTCCGCCACTCGGATAATTAAAACTACCGTGCGTGTGTCCGAAAATGAATGTACACGACCGTTTTTGCGCACGCCATCCTTCGTCGCGTCCGTTCCAATTTTCCGGACAGCGTGTTTTCCGCAAAACACCATCACGACGGTCCTCGGCACTCCCCGGCCTTTTTGAACGGACGTGCGCGAAGAAAATCGACCTGCATCGCGTGACGGGGTGTATTTTTCGGGCGTTTTTTTTTATGTAGAGGGGCGGGAGAGCGACACGGGTAATTATTCGTCTCGCGCGCGTTGACATCGCGCGAGAATTATTAGACGGCCGTGCCGATACTCCGGGCGTGTAATATGACGCGCGCGCCGATCTTTCGTGCGGTCCATTCAATTTCCATGACAGCTGACGCCCGCCCCCCCCCCTCTCTCCCTCTCCGCCTGAGAAGCGAAACGGGGACATGGGACTCGCATATGTACAGGATGTTGCAACGGCCCTCGCGCGTAACACACATGCCGACGCGCGTATGAATTTCGATAAAACCGCGAGAATTTCCAGCGGATAAGTGGATCTCTCCTCTCATATCTCGGCGCGACGGCGCGTCTGGAGAGGACAGTTTAACGAGATTCAGCAACGGATTTCGTACGTATACCGCCGCCGGTTCTGTGTGGGAGCGACGTTTTATCTTCTTTTTTTTTTTTTTTACACACACGTCGTGTCGCCGAGGTCGGCGGCGAGCGAAATCGATACATTCCACGAGCCAGTGATAGACTACCCTCCCCCCGGTTGGTCCCGACGGTGCACGAGGGGGTGCGGGGTCGTTGTTCATTACTCGCACTAATTGAAGGCAACGGTCGGAGCGGCGACTTAAGTCGGGGAAAATAGAATTCGGGGAATATTGCGCTCCAAGTCGCAATGCGGCGAGCGAGCGAGTGTATATATTCGTGCGCGTGCACGATCACCGAAAACGTGTGCGCGCGAAAACGCTTGTGCCAGGATTTTTGCTCGCCAGGATTAACAAGTTTTTACCGAAGCTCTCTCTCGCTCTCTCTCTCTCTCTCTGAGAGAGAGAGAGAGAGAGAGCACATTTATTTAACAAATATATACGAGAAGAAAGCGTCTTGTTTAATCCACGAACGAACTTTTTACCTTGATTTTTTGCAAGCAGTAATTAAGTCTCTTCAAGATTTTGCATTAATTTTACATTAATCCCACGATAAAATAAGCACGCTACAAATTAGAATCTCGTATATTAGGATCCTCACAAAGCTTAAAGAAATATTTACAAATAATTTTTGTACTGTAATGTATAATATTATAAATCGATAATTTTAAACAAATAATTTGTGTACTAATGTATAATATTATAAATCTGTTATTTTGTTTGGGGTAGAATAAAGAGCCTCGCTTCTGTCAGAGCTTTAGTAGAGCCACAAGTTTGCATCTGTTATCGGCGGAGAAAAAGAAGGCGCGATAATTCTCAGAGCTTGAAATATTTCGAACGCAAAGGGACGGCCTTCGTCGGTCGAGAGACACCCGCGCCGGAATTACGCTCGTACGATACGCTCGCAATCAATTATTCGCGCATAATGTCGGGCCCGGGCGGGCATTGTTTGTCTCCACGAGAGAGAGAGAGAGAGAGAGAGAGAGAGGGAAAAAGAGTGAGAGGGAAGGAGAGAGAGGGCAAAAGAATTATCGCGTGTCGGCTCCTTTTTTCCTCGTCGTGGACATTTTCCACCTCCTTCCACCTTCCCACCCTTCTGAGCGAGGTATCTGTAGCATCCAGATACTCGAGCGGCAGAACGATTCTACGCGGAAATTTGCGGTTTTATCGGAAATTCATACGAGGGACGGTCCGCGCGAGCCCGGGCGCGGAAATTGGACGAACTTCGTACGTTCCACGGAATTCGGAATCCACGACGTGCAGCGCGCCGCGCCGCGCCGGTCATCGCGATTCATCCACGTCGCGTGTATACAACGCGGCACATCACCGTACATCGCCGCCGCGCCCGGCGAGAATAATTAAACGCGCGCGGACGCGCGACAGCCGTATCATTTTCTCGCTGCGGCGCGGCGCGGCGCGGCGGCGGGGCCGACAATAATCAGCATGTACGTTGAACGCGACCGTTGATCGTCACTGCCTGACGGAATTATATTTGAAACGAAAACTTTTAACCGGAGCAACAGATAAACTTAATTAAATCGAAAGCTATCCCTTTGGATACGTCTGTGATAAAAGAACATATACCTATACAGCTGTGATAAAAGAAACAAAATTACAGAAACAGAGCCATTTGAAATCCTCTTTATTGTTAGATGGATTCCATTTGGACGATAACGCGCGCGGTTATAACAGCGTGGAGTATCGCGATGCGAGGATAAGCGGTGTGGAAATGATTTCTCGCGTTCTGGTGAGGGGGGGAGGGGGGGAGAGAATATATCGTTAAACTCGCCGCTTGTGAATGCCGTTTTCCTGCCTTTCGCAGCTGATCTTCGGTCTGGGCACTCCGTTGCAGCTGGATCGCGAGAGCGTAATCGTGGGCGTGTTTGCGAAAATGCAGTACAACTTGCCGAGTAACGCCACGGATTTTACGGAGCCGGGGGTGTATTACGCGAGAGCCGGCAGCAGGAGCAGGTGGAGCTTCTACAGGATGTTCGAGAAGGTGGCGGCCGTGTACGGCTTCGGCGGCAAGGAGTGTTTGCTCAGGGCCATTTGCGAAGTCGCTTACGTCCCGTTCGACGTCCGTCACGGCTTGCTGGGACAATTGGTACAGACCTTCCTCAGGTAAATGAACCACGCCCCATTTTCGGGAAAATCGACGCGCTTGAATCTTTGATGCGCGAGGCGCAAATCTTTCTTCAGACATACAGTCGCTGCCAATAGTTTTCGGCCAACATATATAACGATCAGATATTTTTATCACGGAAAGAACGATTTTGTTGAAAGGTATAAAAATTTTGCTGAATACAGATCTGAAAATAATTTTTGTTCAATAATCAAAATAATTTGTTGGAAAGTTAAAAATAATAGGCATTGCTATAAAACGTTTTGATATTCTAGCAATCATTTTAACTTTCCAACAAAATTACTTGGATTATTAAACCAAAATTATTTTCTGATCTGGATCCACCAAAATTGTTCTTTCCGTGTAAAAATACACGTCGTGAGTAAATTTCTATTTGTACGAGTATCAAGTACATACAGTGGGTTTTATTGCTCAAAATTGGAGATGTTAACATTTTTATACATGATACAGTATATTTAATAATTTTTCATTTAATAATTAATTATTATTTAATAATTTTCATTACAATAAAATTACTTGACCGGAAATTTTTAGTAGCCCACTGTAGGCAAAAAAAAAGGAAATTTAAGGTGAAAATAAGATAAAAGTCGGGATATATTGAAATTAAACGGAGACGTCTCTCTCCTTGAATTTCACGTGCTTTAAAATTATATTGATATTCATTCCTTTTTTAACCGACAAATGGTTTTATCGAACTTCAATAACGCGATATTAATCGTTTCAGTCTCAATTTTCAGCTGAGACTATGGCACACGTTGAAAGACATGCCACTAAAATGTCCGATGTGTTAATATTGCGATGTGTCCTACACACATACATATGTACACATATATATATATATATATTTCCACGGCGATTTCGCTTATGTGAAAGAATGTCTCTATTATCGATAATCGTTGGATGCGGGCGTCCGACGTCGCCGGCGAGAAAAATCGATTAGCCGCGCGCCGCCAATAAAACGTCGGGGGTCCCCGTGTCGCCCACGCGTAACGTCAATTACACGCGAACATAATGTCACGGCGGAGACGGCGACGGTATTTAATAAACACCGCATCGAGCATACGCCGGGATTTTCCGATAAACCGTAGCCGCGCGCGTGGCACGCCGATATTTTTCGCTTTGCCTCTCACAAGCCGGCGCGCGCCGTTTCCGAAGCGATGGTATATATATATATGTATACACGAACGCGACCGTTATAATTTCTCACAGCGCGCGGCTACGACTAGCACACGTGTATATGTACGTGTGTGACGCACACGTGTATACGCGTTGGAAATTATACCATGGGATTCCAGGCCCTCCAGCACCCGGGAAGAGTACGACGAGTACGGGGATCGGGAATATCGGGCGGCCGAACGGCTGGGCGAGCGGGCGGAGGGCGCAGGCTGCCACGCCCTTTATCCGGAATGCCGCAGAAGTGTGCTCGACGTGTTTTCCACGTTGACCACGTGAAGACAAAGGCCGCGGATGGAAATCTCGCGCGGCGAGGAGCGGCGGAGCTGCGAAGGGGCCCTGCGGACGAAGCCCGCGGAAGAGATTGCTACTGAAATATCGGAACGGGATTTCGTGTAAGACGGACTCAGGATCGGAGTTCAGAGTTCAGAAGTTCGATGCGTTTTGTTGGTAACGCGATTTCCGAAAGAGACACACACATACACATACATACACGCGCGCGCGCGCGCGCACGCGTGGCACGGAAAGAACGATTTTGTTGAAAGATCTAAAAATTTTGCTGAAAGCAGATCTGAAAATAATTTTTCGTTGAATCATCAAAATAATTTGTTGGAATGTTAAAACTGATCAAAATAAATTTGTTGGAATGTTAAAACTGATAAGCATTGCTATAAAGCGGTTTTGCTTTTGCACAAAATAATTTTGATTATTGAACAAAAATTATTTTCAGATCTGGATTCAGCAAAATTGTCCTTTCCGTGTGAGATCGGGATCATTTAGAATGTCCTTCTTTTATAAAGGCACGGCGCAGACAGCTGCGAAATTATTCCGCTTAAACAACTCGCGCCGTTCGATTTGCGCGCGCCCGGAAAAAGAAGCATGCACTGTACATTTGTCAATTACAAAATTGAATTCCGAAACACACCTATATCGCTTCTCGCGCACGAGAGCGAGATTCCGTACGAATAATCCATCTCCGCTCCCGATGTTTCGTCGTTTTCGGCGATGCGAGGAGGTCGTGGAAGCGCTCTCCTACGCTTCACTCCCCCCCTTCCCTCCCCTTCCTCCGCTCCTTACCCGCCCCCGTTTGGCATTCCTTCCTGATTTCGGAGTTTCATCTTCCTAAAAGTGCGCATAAGAAACACAGGAGTTTCGGCGGGTGGAATGCCGGCATCCGATATTAAAGAATCCACGGTATTCGCGGGGGGAGGGGGAAGGATCGGCCGCCTCCCCCTCCTCCCGCGAAGTTTATCGCGGTTTTTCCGTTACTTCGGCGCATTCCCCCGTATAATCAGCCGAAAGAAAAAGCTCGTCGAAAGTTTTTCACGGAGGAGCGGCTACTCGCGATTTCTTTATGTTCCTTCGGAGCTGCGTGGTATAAGATTATTTACTTTGCCCGACGTTTTTTTTTTATTCTCCCCCTAATTGTGCGGGAACTGAATCCTTGAAGGAAGCGAAAGAACGGGGTGGAAAGAAGAAAAGCGATTACCCGGGAGTTTTCTGAATGTATCTCAGCAAGAAAGTACCGAAGCCTGCATGCGAGAGCGCGCGCATCTCTGTCTTTCTCTCTTTTTTTTTTTCGTATCGCATAAGCTAATTTGCAATAATAGATTATTGCGTTTAGTTACGTGCGCTATTATATATATTTGCACACACGCGGGCATGCACACACAATCCCCATAATAATGCGTATTGCGACCGCATTCGCATCTATATGCGGTGTATGCGGTTGCCAGTTAATTATTAGATAATAGACGTACCGTAGTTAATTATGAATAGATATTAGTTTGGTCGGGACAAGCAAATTTAGCTCTTCCGGACAACGCAAATGTTTCGAAACGTTGACTTGCGGAGTGTCTAAAGGACGCCGTCCTAATCGCGACATCCTGAGATTGATCTGCAGAAAGGGAGAGTGTGAATAATTAAATATTTTAAATACGTGTATGAAGTTAAAATATTTAAAGGTAAATTTAAAATAATTAATTATATATATATAATTATATATATATATTAATTATATATATAATTAATTATTTTAAATTTACCTTTAAATATTTTAATTTTATACACGTATTTTCAGATTTTCAGATTCTGCGAATAATTTTTGTTCAATGATCAAAATAATTTTGTGCGAAAGTCAAAATGATTGCTAGAATATCAAAACGTTTTACAGCAATACTTATCAGTTTTAACATTCCAACAAATTATTTTGATGATTCAACA